AATATTAATCAAACACATTAATAATATCCTATAACCCCTTGATATCAATTACTAATTGATAACACATGTTAATTAATAAAATCATATTGAATTAATAATTACTATAAGTTTTGGGTTTCACGTTGCTCCAGAGCTTCGGGATCAGCGGATGTCATGTGACTTTGGATATGTGTTTAAGTCTAATGTTACTGTCTTGGAAAAGCAAAATGAGAATTGTACCAATTTAGACTCGCAGTGAACAGGGTTTTCTTATGAAATAAAAAAAAATAGGAAGAGAATAAAGAAGAATAAAAGAAATTATTCAAAGAAATATTAAAAAAAATCAAAAGAAGATGAAATTCACAATCAAATATATTGAAACTTTCAGTTTCTCCCTTGACAAAATTACTAATAAAAATAATTTTCAATTCTTAATGATTTAATTTATTAATATATGTTTTGTTTCAAATACTATTAAATAAATTAATATGAACAATTTAAAATTATTGTTTCAATCAATTTTACAACTCTGCCTTGATATTGGAATCAAAAGATAACAATATAAAAATATTGAATTTCAATAGAAAAACATAAAAGAAAAATATAGAATAAATATAATTTTATTAAAAGAAAATTAAAGAAAATACAAGAATTCAGAATTTTATAATTATAATAATTGTTTTTTTTTTTATAGTTAAAAGAAATTGCAACTTTTTTATAATGTTTTGGTCAATTGTAAGTCGCTTCTAATCTAATTATTTATATGTAATTCATATATTTACACAAAAGAATTGGCTAGAGAATTATTTGTTACACTTAGAATAATTATTAAAAAAATTCTTATCTATAAAATTAAAAGTAAAATTATTCAAAATATTAGTAAGATAATTGCTTTTAAGGTCTTAATAAAAGTTGTTCCTCTAGTCTTTTCACAAAAGTTGTTTAAAATCTCAAAGAAGCTTTACAACTTGGTTTTTGAACTACAGTACTCCAAATTTACTGTGCCATTCAAAACTATATGGATGTTTTAAGAATTTTTAAAAGAAAATATTATATAGAAAATATAACTAAAATTAATAAATAATAATAAATGTTAATAATATATGCTAGTATTTATCAAAAGTTAATAACAATGTGTAGTGGTTTTAATATTTATTTTTCTTTACTACATAGTAGATTAATATAGGTAAGTTAGCATTAAACTTATTAACTCAATATGTTATATAAGAAATATTGTTACTTTTGTTATATAGAAAATCTAAATTTTTTATAATTAATAAAGTGATAATATTTACTTACAAAAATAAATAAATAAATAAAATATTGAATATATAGAAGTTATATTTTATTTAATAATTTAATCTTTAGATTTGACAATTTAAATCAATCAAATTCTTTAAAGTATCTATTAAAAGATTCTAAAGTTATATTTTATTTAGTTTTAAAATCTTTGGATTTAATAATTTATATTAACAAAAAATTACAATTTTGAAATATTTATTAGAAAATATATATTTATATTTAATTTTTTTTAAATTTATAATTATATAAGTTAAAGTTGTAATATAAAAAATTATTTATTAATTATTAATTTATATTGTTAGGCCAGAAAATGACAAGTCAGTTGCTTCACCAGTTCAAAAATAGAATTATGAAAGGTAAGTCAAGTTATATAAAATTGATTTAGCCAAGGCTTTCATTATTAATAAGCTTTTCTTTTTTTTTCCAATACCAGTTTTTCTCTTGATAATCCTAAGCTATATTCTATAGAAGTGATTATTCTTTCCTAAATGATGCATACTTGAAAAGATAAGTTGTTAATTACAATATTTCTTTTTAGGTGCTTCAATTTCACTAATCGTTTCTTTATTATTATCTTTCTTATTATTATCATCATTCTATTTCACTTATATATTAGTATCACTATTTATATTATTCACATATATAAGAAAAACAATTAAAGGAGAATAGACTATCAGAGTTAAATTAGACTATTAAGTAAGTTATTTAAGTTTCTATAACTATATTTTTTATGTTAATTATTATTAATGCTCTGTCTTTTCAAGGTATGTGATGTGACAATTACAATATGTAACTATATCCTGTAACTTTTCCTAGGTTAATAATATCAAATAATTTTTTTTATTAATATTTTTAAATAGAAACTTTAGCTATTCAATACTATTTTTAATATATAATAGTTTTAATATTTGTTTTTTTTATTACTTAAATAATTATATATAAATAAATTTTATTAACTTATTAAGTTATATAAGTGATATTACTTTTTTTATATAAAGTTTAAAAATTTTTATAATTAATAAGTAATAATATTTTTCTATAAAAAAAAAACAAGTACGTAATTATAATTTAATAAATATATATTTTTAATATAATATAATATAATATAATTATATTATTATATACTATATATTATTAAAAAATTTATAATATATATGTAATTTAATTTAATATTTTTATAAAATAAATATATACATATAATATATACAATATTACAATTTATACAATATAAAATATTTAATTATTAAAAATATATTATGTTATACAATATATTAATAATTATTTATTTTTTATATCAATTAATGTTTCACAAAACTAGATAAAATTGGATTCATTCAAATATATTATAAAATGAAATTTTCAAAATTGATTAAATTATATATTTAATAATTTCCAAATAAGTAGAACAAGATCAAACCAATTAACAATAAAGGAAATAATATTATCAATCAAATAAATAATTGAACAAAGAATAATAATAAAAAAAATATTATTGGTTAAAAGTTATGTGGCTTTTTTCTTATCAAAGCAATCACATTGAATATGTTTGATTTCAATCATTTGTAAGAATCAAATGTGGAATCATAATATAAAAAATTATGTAATTATAATAGTTGTATAATATTTCAATTATATAATGTTTTTTTTCTTGGGCTCCGGAAACATCCTAAACTACATGAGCTGGTTATGTCGATCAATATCCTATTTTAATATAAATAAGCTGAGATTTTTTTTGACTTGCACCAAATGTTTGTTTGAATTTATTTCGTAAGTAAAATATATTTAAAAAAAGTTATACTTTCAATATTTCGCAGTATGGAAGAGTTAAATTTTGGACAAAAGGTTATTATTAAGCTTGATGGGATTCGAAATAATAAAAATGGACAGTCAGCAGCACCAAATCATATTCAAAGTATAATATATTCATTTTTTATCATTTTATTGGTGTGGGAAGAAATTATCAAACTCAATCTAAAAATAAACTCATTATATAAAAAACAATTATGAATTGACCGACGGAATTTCATTTGGATAGATCCTTCAATCAGTGAGAGACCACTCACCACAAGGCTTGCTACTACTAATATATCTGTTGTACACAATTCAATGACATCTATGAGTCTTAGTGATTTACAAAATGAACCCGTCATCCTCAAGCGTGAAACAGTGTCGGGTAACCACACGACACATTTCCAAAGATCTACTCACCGAGTGGAACATGTAGATCGTCAAACGAAAAACTCGTCGCCTTCTTCTTTGAGACTCGCTCAGGTATCAACCTCCAAAACACATGCAGCTTTAGATAATAACCGACGACCATTACTTCAATCTCGAGTGGATAAAATCAGGACTTTATCTTCATCAGGAATTGTGAAAAAGAGTGGTAGAACCAGAGCAGAACTTGAAACAAGACGGAAACTTTCAAAGTCTTCTAAAAAACAACGTACCCCGGCGTCTTCTAAAAAGCCTATGGATGATTCCACGGATGATGAGGAGACAGATGTTTATTCAGACGATGGGTTTGATGAAGAAACGGCTGATCAAGAGTTGCTCAAAGTCGTTAAGGTATCTTTAACACATACAATTTTTTTAAAAAAAAGTTTATATTTTACATTCACAAATGTTAATATTAACTTTTTTTTTGATTTCAGAGAACTTTGCTCGATTATATAGAAGTGAAACCATCGAAAAAGCTCAAAAACGGCGAGCTCACATGGACACAATTCAAACCGTACATGGAAAGTCTTCACTTTCCACAGTTCAAAATTTTTCTTAAAGAACGAGATATTGATGCACCTGAAAAGATGGTTTACCGATGCCTCAGGGACTTGCATATTTCTCGAAGAGATGTTTGGCTCAAAAAACGAAGAAGAGAACGTGAGCAAAGATCTCAGGAGATGATGGAAAGTGTCGAAGCCGATGCACCTAGATCGGATGGCTATACTACCTACCACAAGAAAAGTACGCATTAGGTTTTTTTCCTCGGTTTGCCCTCGTGTATTCGATGTTACGAGTTACACAAAAATTGTAGTTGTTTTTAATATTTAAAATGGGAGTTCCAATTACACATCAAAGTTATAAATGGCTATTATTTAACTTCTTTATGGGTCATATATCCAAGCAAACAATTTATATTCATGATAAATTATTTTATTTAAATACTTTAGCCAAATATTCTCTCATTAGGTATTCGTCATTTGACAATTTACAAATATATTATCTGTTTTTGGCTTTGGCTTTATGTTATATTTCTACATTAAATTTAGCAATTATAAATATATTGACATTTGTAAATGCTCTATTTTCTTATCTATTTCATATTAAATTTTTTGATTTAAAATATACAGCATTTATTATTTTAAAGTGAAGGTGTGTTGTGTTCAAGATTCTGTTTAATATATAAAGTTTTACATGAAAAAACTTGTTTGAATTATAAAATAATTAAGTCAATCCTTGTGTTTAAGATTTTATATGTTGTATGGCACCTGCACAGACAATTTTTTAGTTTTTATGCTTAACGTAAATGAAAAGAAGCATGTACTGTAATTTGATGAGTTTGAAAAATATTAAAGCAAGATTTCATAATAAGTAGTAACTTATTTTTGTTGTGTTTTATTAAATATGTGTTGATTTCTATTACAATACATGATTTTTGCTTATAATTTAATTATATACTATTATAATTATTTAAAAAAATTTTTTTAATAATATAATATTATATACAAATTAATAAATTGAATTTAATAAAATCAAAAAACTATTTTTTAATTTTTTATTTTTCTAAAAACTTTTTTTAAAAAAATTTTAACAAAATAAAAAAAAATAAAAACTTGTTAAATTGATTTTTTTTAAAGCAGAATTAATTTATTATCTTTTTTTCTTGGCAGCTTATGCCTACTGATCCATTTGGAGTGTCTACTAGGAGTTTAAGAGAAAGTCCCTTAAGGAGTTATGCCCTACTAGACCAAAAGTGACCTCTAGATTTGATAATCAGTGCCAACCAATAGTCAACTGGAGCATTCACTAGGAAGTGTATACTTGCATCAAAGGTTAGTGCTACCATATGCGGATGTGCACAGTGGAGGTATAATGTGATAGGTACTTACTTGGATAGTTATAGGACTATCACATAGCAGTAAAAGCCAGGATATGAACCCACCTACTTGATATAAGTTGATATTCTGGTAAAAAGGATAAGTAGCGAAAGTTAATATTAGCAATAAGTTAATAGACTGTTCATATATAGATAGTTGTAGTCTTAATTGATTAACAATAAAATACATGTATGTATTGCAATTTAATCCTTAAAAAAAATTTTTTTTTATTATCTTTTTTTTTTTTTTTTAATTGCAAATAGGCATTAAATGTAAAACTTTATTTAAACAATAAGTTTATTGTCATTACATTAATAATCTTTGTAAAGAAGAGTACAAATTAATTATAGCCTATTGCAACTTGAATTAGCTACACAAATTTTCACCAAATAGGTGGATTTATATAAATAGTGTTGAATGGCTAATGCCCATTCAGAATGATAAAACTATTGCTAGAGTAAATATTTGTTTGTTAGTGAGGTTGTTTGAATTTTGTAATGTATTAAGTACTTTGATAAATGTTGAGTTGTTATTTTTCATTAAGTTGTTATTGTCATTGAGGATAATATTTGGTGTTATTCTCCATGTAATTCCTGAGGATGGTAAAGTTGTTAAGGTCACAGATCATTGTTTCTAGACTTTATAAAGAATTTTCAGAGTATAGTTAGAAATTTCCTCTATCCTTTTTTGGATGTGATTGAGGTGGGACTGATAGTTGCATATGGTGAGATGAATTAAGTCTTGACTTGATAAATTAGATGTGTTTCTCGAATTTGCTGTTGTTATATTTTTATTATTATATTCGAAAATAAGTTTTTGTAGTTTGGGTTTTTTTTTATTAATAAGGGAGTGATTATGTATGCAAGAGAAAACATGTGGGATGTCCTCAGTAAAGGCTTTGCACCTGGGACAGAGGTTATCAGTATATAGGTTGGGATATCTTCTGTTTAATTTTGATCTGGTGGGGAACTAATTCATTATAATTTTGGTTCTGAAAGTAGATAAGGCTCTATACTTAAATTGATCCAGTTTTTTTAGCTTTCTGTTGGCTTTGATAATAGTTTCAAGGTCAAGAAGTGTTAAAGTGTAACAAATCTATAGACGCCCGGAAAAAACCCCGATTTTCTTCGAAAAGTCAGATGACAATCTCTCAAACGATCTTAAGAGACTATGGGTATTTTGATGAG